GAATAAATGAATGACTAAATTAAGTAAAAAAAAATAAACAGATGGGCCAATCCTATCTGTTGGCCTGACTGGACCTGAAAGAACAAGTCCTATTCTCACTGATACTTCATTTTTACTCACATGCATCCCTAATCAGACCACAGGAGACAATTGCTTTGTGGGGGCGTGGTCAGTGGGGTATGTTGTGGGGTATATTTTGTACACTGTTTTTCAGGAATCCATCATTCCTATGAAAAGAGATTGAATTCATAGGAAATTACTTTCCTACCTACAATAGGAGAGAAGGAATAGAGATAGTGTATGAATTGATTGGTTTGTTTACAGCTTTCCAGACTTAGATTATTTTATTCCATAAAGTTATTATGTGTAAAATTCTATAAAGTGATCAAAAACATCTTTCATCTCCTTGTGCCTCATCCCAGGTTTTTTGAAGCTCTGCTTTCATATTGATAAAATGCTAAAATGGCAGTAATTATACTTCCCTTCTCGCTTTCTCTGTTGAGTTTATATTTAAATATGGAGATGTTTGGGGATGCTTTTGTTTTGCTTTAGCTAAACAGCAAGTAAACAATAGGTATTTTAGTAGTTATGTCTGGTACTGGTAAGATCTGAGTTAACTGCAATTTACCGAGTAACCATGGTGACTAGCATATGGCTTCTGATTCCATTAATCTTATTGAGATTAACAGTAAATCCCAAAGGATCTTTTGCAGTGATTCAGAAATAAATCATCTTTTCACATGTATATTTTTTTGTTGACAGCCACTCTTTTTAAATCTGTATCTCTACCCAACAAAGAAATTATACAGTCCCTCTAATTAGGTGGTTAGAAACTCATTCTCCAAGTAAAAAATTTTGCAAAATACAGCAAATGGCCAAAAAAGCAAATGCATACAAATACCCCATAAAGGAAAATGTAGTCAACAAACATAGTTCATAGTCCTAGCAGAATTACCAGTGTAACACTATTTACTCCCAGGAAAAAATGTATTTATGTAGGGGTAGTGGTGTGGATCAGAGCATGTGCTTAGTAAGTGCATGGCCCTGGGTTCTGTCCCCAACACTCCCAAAAAAATTACTTATATAGAACTGCAGTCAAGAAATAGGAACTGAAAACACAATTTGAGGTTCTTTAATGAAAAAATTTCAATTATCATTTAGATTATATGAACTTGAAAGGATGAGTTGAGCTGTACTTGAGAAGTGGAACAGCTAAAACTAATCATGTGTTCTGTTTGTAGGGAGATGTTGGTAAGTTAAAAAGAGTAGTATGGCTCTACCTAAAACCCTCTTTGTTCTAGAGCCCAGAATAATTAGAAAATGTGTCAGCCTCATTTTACAGGTAAAGACACTGATAATCATAGTTTTCTCTGAAACTGGCTAAATAAATTGCTATGATCCTGAGTTGGAAGGGATGGGAATCAGATGATTATCCAGAAGATTCTACAAATTTGAATTCACAGTACAATGTAGAGGAAATGTGCATACCTCTGAGTCTTTCTCAACTCATGAGGCTAATCTCTAACTTTTTCTGCATTAAGGAATAACCTGCTGTCCTATTTCAACCTAAGTCTTCGTGTTAAGAGCAATACCAAGACCACATTAGCATTTTACAGACTCTATGATGCACACTTGTTCTTATTATAACATTTCTGACATCAATAATGGTTTATTGTACTCATGATGCAGCACATGGACTTCATTGCTTATGCATGCACTAACTTGGTGATAGATACTTACGTTGTTGTTACCTAAACTGCATTATACAATTGTTCGTGCAGAAGCAGAAAGCTTTTGTATATGCAGAAAGGAATATAAATTTGATATTAATGATATGAATATTCATCTTAGAGTAATGACTATAGCTTCATATTTTCTTCCCGAATAACAACCTACAAGACCCAAGAAAGGAAAATACCCACAAGCAGATGAGTTATATTAAATGTCATTGTTGAGATAGGCATAACATGATTATCTGCATGCAGTTAGCAAAGCAACTAAACCAGAAAGAACTGATGAATCCTTCAAAATACATGGAAAAAATTTCAAAGCACCAAGAATCCGAAATGACTAACAAATGTATTAAGCAGAACTATTGTTATAGTATGATACAGTTTAATTTGCTATATGTCCTCTTGATCATTGTAAGATAATTTGGCATCTGATGACATTGTTAGACCCTCATACTGGGTCTAAAGCCGTCTTCCCTGCTCTGCTAATGGAAAACAACAGGAGGAAGTCCAGAACAGTCAAAACCAAAGCCAAATACTGAACACTTACAACATTGATTTTAGTCATAAATCAGGCATCTCTGACGGCAAATGACATCCCCTCAGCACAAATGTCTCAGACCCTAATTTCTGTTTTGTTAAAAAGAAAACTAGGACTGGAGGTGTGGCTCAGGCAGTAGAGCACCTGCTTTGCAAGTATGAAGCCCTAAATCTAAACCCCACTCCCACAAAAAAAAGAAAACTAGTCTCTATTGACTCTCTAAGCTTTCAAGATAATGATTTCTTATAATTCTATGGTAATTGTAGAAAATATTGTTTTTTACATTATTTTCTTAGCAATTTTGAACAGAAAAGGAGGTTATATTAAAATATAAGGAACAAATGGGAAGAATAGTTTCAATAACCTCATGACTAAAGGAAAAGAATGTTTTTGTTTTCATTTATTTCTATTGTTAAGAAACAGAGAGTATCATGTGTGCAAAAATAGATACTCTGCAGTAGTTTCCTAAGACAAGTGGGTTATTAAGTCAGCATAACTGAAATACTCATATGTGTTTATAACACATACTCATATGAGTTTAGAAACAAGCATTCTATCAGCTGGGTTTAAGGATACACCTTGGCAAGGGCACAACCTCAGTTGAGTTTATATAGTCAAGGGTGCAGTCAGGAAGGTTTGCCTAGATCAAAGAAGCCCTGCATTTCCTCAAGCAAGCACTTGTCCACAGGAAGCACAGGCACCATGTCATTTACATCCTGGCTCCGAGCCCTTCCTTGCATAACTGTGATACTCTACTATGAGCTTAGAGCCAACTAAATCTCATTTTGGATGTCTGATTTCCAGCTGTGCTACCAGGATTAGAATGTTCTCCATTAACATAAGGATTTACCTAGGGCTTTTCTAAGCACTGGCTAGCTCTTGGTTTATAAAACCTATAGGAGCACGGGAGTAGATATTTTTAAATCTGAAGGAAATCCAACCCATCAGATTTCAGATCCTCTAAAAGAAACTGAACTTTCTCTGTAAAAATATATTACTATTTGAAATTTAAATTACACCATTTGTCATATACTCCACATATACAATTGTAGTGAGGAAAAGTAGAGTTTAGATTTTTCCCCCTTTATTTCTGCAGTCCACTGACACATTCCAAAGTTCACTATTGCTGAAGGAACATATTAACTTAGGTATTAGAATTGGAAAGGTCATATCCCCATGACATTTCTGATAAAATATGCTATGCCTCAGAAATATCCAGGTAGAATCAAGATTATGCTAATCTCATTTGGAAAGTTGTGCTTGCTACAGGGGAGTTCTGAAATAAAACTATATCTGCCTCCCAGCTCTTTCTTCCCTGTCTTCTCAAGAGGGAGAAACAGTGATCACATCTCATTCAAAGCTCTCCTGCTGCAGTTTAAAGCTATTTGCCTTTTATTCTCTCTTCAAGTTGAGAGCAGCTCATCTCTATTTTCTATTCAATAACCCTGAAGGACTTGACAATTGTTAGTAAAAGCCACTCCCAGGCTTCTCTTTTTGACACTTTACAAATCTATCACTTCAAACCTTAATCATTTATTCAGTTTTTCAACATTCTAGTATCTCTCTTGGCCACCCACTGGGCAATATGTCTCTTCCCACCTATCTTAGCCTGTTCGCAAACAATAGCAAGGGGAAATTAAAGAACATGGCTTCAGCTTTCGCTCTAGATGACAACGTACTAGAACTTCCTTACCCAACTTTTAATAACTTGTTTAAGAGCCCAGGCTTGAGAACATACTGCCTGGGTGATTCCCTGCTCAACCACTTTACTAGCTATGTGATCTTGGGCAGATTAACTAACTCCTTAGTGCTTCATTTTCAATAGTGCCCACCTTGAGTTAGCCTAAGGATTAAGTTAGTGTGACACATGTAAAGCATTTAGAATAATACCTGCAAATGAAAACTATTATAATTACTGTCTAAGTTTTAAAATTGAAGTTTTTTATTTGTGTCATGGTCTGGATGCTTATTCTGGGTTCCAGATGTCTCTGTTTATAGTAACCTAAAATGCCAGCCCACTCTGTTATTACTTTGATATTAATTAACCTGGCGTTTTTTTCTCTTAAAAATGTAAGGCATGAATATATTCGTTCTTATGAGTCCTTTTTTTAAAATTATCATTACCCAAATTTTCTAAGCCCAATTGCTTAGCTCTTTAAGTTGTTGTTGTAATAACAGAAAGTGAAAACGTCACATGAAAATAGGTCTGTAAATAGAGTGAGGGTCTGTAATAGGGCCACTGTCTCTAAATAGGATGACCTTAGTGGTTTCTTGAAAGATGGGACTTTCAGTGCTAAAACTTGGAACACATATTGCAAACCAGGGTGGCTAGCCACCTTAGCTATAAAGGTATAACTTAAGGTAGGGGTAGAACAGAGGAAAAAAGAAGCATAATGATACGTCTCGTTCATGGAACACCATTGCCTTGATTTGTTTGTTTGTTTATCTCAGTGCTGGAGACTGAACCCAGAGCCTTGCATATGCTCAGCAATCACTCTACCGCTAAGCTACAAACCCAGTCTGTTGCTTTGAATTTTGACTCTTGTAATCCCTGGTGAGAATCTAAAGGGTAGACTTGTACTGAGCTAATTAATTCTAAATATCAGGCATTTCAGCTTCATTTTTTTGCTATTATTATCATCTACGGTATATATTTCTTCTCCTTCATTTTATACTGCTCTACTTTCCTTTGATAATTTTGTGCTTTTTTTCTTTTCCCTTTAGGTCAACTCAAATCAAAACATACTCTTGGGATAATGCCCAAGTTATCTTGGTTGGGAACAAATGTGACATGGAAGATGAGCGGGTCATCTCAACTGAGAGAGGCCAGCATTTAGGAGAACAGCTTGGTAAGTAACAAATTAACAAGAAGGAGTTTAGTAATTATTTGTAACACTGAACAAAGTCCCAGTTAATTGAGGGAGGGTGGGAAGGTAATGCAAAGTTCCTCAATGATCAATGGAAACCAACTTATCCTAAGCTGTGAGTGCATTTCCACCCATTTACTGTGGCATCAGTAGAATTCAAACACGATTAAAGAAGCAAAAATGGTACTCAGAATTTTGGTCTTAGCACAAGATATCCAAGTCCATATTCCTGAGAAGTACAGGTTTGCCTTTCCCACTATTTCTTTGGCTTTTTTCTCCATACACATCATTTTCATTGAGTGAGCCCTTAACTGAGTGATTATTATTGTTCTCAAGTTCCTGTGAGAGGTTAGTAATGGCACAGAATAGGTAACACCTAGATTCCTATATATATATATTTTTTGGAACATCATTGATGTTACTGTTACAAATCTTTTTAAGATACAATCTCCTCATCTCGCAAGAATGCATATCATAAACTATACCTACTTAACCAAACCTTTACAGATAACATCAAAGGAGATAACATGGGAGTGCTTTAGAAATAACAAGGCAAGCATTTCAAACACAAAACATTGTATCAAAAGAGAAAAATGTTACCCATGAGTAGGGTAAGGTGAATGGTTAATTCAAGGCATTTTACTATTGTACACTTTCTATTGTGTCAGACATCATGGGGATACAAAAACAGGTCCTGTCTGGGGGTTGGTACCAGTGGGAGGGGGAGATATAAGGAAAGGGTGTAGGAGGATGAATATGGTAGAAATATATATACATGTATATAAATGGAAAAATGAGACCATTGAAACTACTCTAGGAATGGGGGAAGAGGGGATAGGAGAGAGTGATGGAGGGGATGAATTTAACTATAATATATTGTAAGAACTTTTGTAAAAGTCACAATAAACTCCCATTGGAACAATAATTTAAAAAATATAAATAAAGTGTTATCCATCATCTCTGGTCCCTAGACTGTCAAATGGAGAAACTGGAGATACACACAAGAAAGCAGAAATCACAACACAATTTAAAAAAAATAAACAGGTCAATGAGAGTTGTTGAGCTACAAGGTAGAGGCTAAGACAAAAACAATAGGGGGAGTAAGGAAGACACATGGAAAACATTGTGGGGAGGGGGTTAATGGTTGGGGAGTGGAACAGGATACAGATAACAAGCAATGCAGAGAAGATTCCTGTGTAAATAATGGGTGGAAATGGGCAGTGTACCTAGGAAGAGGTGAGTGATGTCAGAAGGGTTAAAGGGCAATATTTGATTTGAGTGGTCCCCAAAGGACAGAAAAATTTAAAAACTACAAAGAGGAAATGAAGCGTTATGAATAAAAGGCATAGTAATGGACACAGCTTTTGAGGGGAGCTAAGCTAAGAGGACAGTGAGTAGAAAAGTTAGAACCTAGCCCATAGTTGTCCAAAGCCCAGTTATGAGATTGCCAAAGATAAACTGATCCATTGAGAGGGCCTCTGCTTCATCAATTAATGCTGAGCACTAAACCCAGGTTTTTTCCTTTCATGGTGCTGGTCTTCAAATTATAGGTTAAGGCTCAACTCAGGAATTGAGACTATCATAACAAAGAAGAAAGAGAAAAAGAAAAAGGCAGAGGATAGAGAGAATTTCATCTGGTAAAGTTAAAATGTGAAGCTTTTATTTCTTTTTTTTTTTAATAGATTGAAAATCTATTTAACAGATTTAAATGGATATTTCACATTCACATTAGTAATCCACACATGAGCAATCTTCAAATTCTCTAACAATGAGGGAATTGCAAATTAAAATCACAGCAATATTTCAAAGTACATTACATCCATGTTTGTGAAGTTAGAATGAAACTCACCAAGGCTGGGTAGGGTGGATGGGGTAAAAAAGAGTAATAAAGGGGTTAATCTCATTAAAATACAAGATATTCACAGATGAAATACCATGACAAATCCCCTTTTAACAATGAATATGCGTCTGCTGCTGGAGCTAAGGAACACATCTGAGTCCAAGATGTCAGAGCACAAGGACATATCTGAGCCCAAGATGTCAGAGCACATGGACACATCTGAGTCCAGGATGTCAGAACACAAGGACACATCTGAGTCCAGGATGTCAGAGCACCTGGACACATCTGAGTCTGAGATATCAGAGCACACGGACACATCTGAGCCCAGGATGTCAGAGCACCTGGACACATCTGAGTCTGAGATATCAGAGCACACGGACACATCTGAGCCCAGGATGTCAGAGCACCTGGACACATCTGAGCCCAAGATGTCAGAGCACACGGACACATCTGAGCCCAAGATGTCAGAGCACAAGAACACATCTGAGCCTAGGATGTCAGAGAACAGAAACACATCTGATTCCAAGATGTCACACTCCCAGGCCCTTCCTGAAGGCAAACACCAGAAGCTTCTGCAGAGGAAACGAACCATGTTCACTGGAAGCTTTTATTTCATACTGTCTCTCTACCCATATGTATACACCAGGTTGCTAGATTGAATGTATTTCTTACTGCAAGTCCTAACTAAAATGATTGGAAACTTTGGCTCTTCTCTGCTAAAAATCCCTCAACATTGCACAGATGTTAAACGGTTCTTGAAATTGTGAGACAGACATGTTTTATGTTCCTGCACAAGTTCTTCCAATGGTTTCTAATTGATTTTTTTGCTCTCTATTCAATAAGGCCCAAAAGTTGTCATAGCAACCAATTTATGTGCCTTCTTGGAGAGTCATTTGCTTCCTTATGTGTAGTTCCTCCTCATGACTACACATTCCTCTACAAATGATCAGGAGAGAGAATTTCTTTGAAAAAATATTCTCAGAATCTAAATTTAAAGGTTTTAAAGAACTTTGCTTTATTTTTTTAAAATACTGGTAAGTTTCCACTCTCTAGAATACTGTCATATACTCCAAGAGGTTAGGCATTGTGTTTTAAAGGTCATTACCACATTTTGGCAGATGGCTCAAAATAACTGCTTCATCCATCTAGTTACAATTAATTCTCCATTATGGGTTGTTGTATCCAATATAACTTCTTCTCATCCTAATGAGAGCACTTGATGGAATAAAGTTGTAGCTGAGCTCTTTAAAATTGTTGTATGGAAAGTGCCCTTGCCAATCCAATTTGTTTTTAGTTTACCAAACAGTTATTTAATGCTTACAATATTCTGGTCCTGGGAATACATTAGACAAATAACACTACCTTCTAGTAACAAACATCATTATGCCTGTAGCAAACTGTACAAACTCAGCATTTTCTTGTCCTCTTCCTAGCCATTTCATTCATGTGATGAGCACCCCCTCCTTGTTAAGTATGGAGCTCTCTGATCATCTCTACAATGTTGAGCCATGTGTCCCATCTCCTTGGTAGATTCTTTCTGCTCTTTCTGTCTTTTGCACTTTGGCTTTCCATCCATAGCCCACCACTTCTCTGTCTACACTATCCATTGGATATTCCCATTCACTCCAACATTTCAACTCTACCTACAAGTTGGCTATCAAATCTTGTCCCAGCACTGACCTTACAATCTAGTATCAGGATTCTGTATCCACCTGCCAACTGTGTATATTCAGAACTTCTAATTGAAGGTGATCAACTAATCATCTGCAGATGAGTCAACTGGGGTTTCAAATGCACACTTATCAACCCCAACTTAGGCTTGCTACATCAGGTTTCAAAGGCAAAGCCCAGGAACCTAGGCTAGGAGAGGGGGTTTGGAGTCTTTGGAATATTTTTCTTCCATTAAGGATAAGAGTTTGGGCATATTTACCCCACATGCCATTGTACCACTCTTGAACAAAAGATAATTAAAGTGAGTAAGACATCATTATAACCCAGACAAAAAAGCCTATGTCCTTGGATTTTAGTAACTATAATTCTGATTGCTGCTGAGACTGAGTGACCCCAGGATGCCTGTTTGGGAACTTTGACTCTGGAATTCTCCAATTTGTTCATATGAATCTTTTAGTTTAACCACTCTCGTCTCTCATTGCCAGTCTGGATAGGAGAGAAAAAAGCAGTAACTGTAGTGTGAGATCATGGGAGCTCTGAACCTTTGCATCCATGGTCTGACTATAAGCAAGCAGATTCTCCTTAAGCAGTTTCCAGCAATGAAAATCACAATTGCAACATCACACCTTCCCTGACTGACTGCTAAGCTCAACTTCAGTCATTGTATCCTTGGCACAACCTTGAGATACAGAATAGATCTTACCCAAACATTATTTTCTATCTTAAAGCCCAGGAGGAAATTGGGCATGTGTAGCTGTCAAACCTACTTAAACTCTGTTCTTGGACCCCATAATCTTCCAGTGATCTTCATGATCCAATGAAATATGCCAGAAAATGACTGGATTATAATCAAAGATAACTTTTCATAATTGCCATCTTACTCAAATTCATACTTTCGCTTTTCAAAATGTGCCCAGCTTTTTGGAATTTTCTCAATGAATAAACTGGAAAATTCCTTAACTATACATCCTGTGCTTTATAAGTAAAATCTCTGGAAATTTTTGATGTCTCACTCTATGGGCCTTAAAAATTACAATGAAAAATACCAATTCAGATTATAATACATAAACACATGGAAATGTCACAATGAACACCTTATGTAGCTATCTTAAACAAACAAAAATGTCTTTTTTTTTTTTTTAACAAAAACAAAGAACAGAAAGGCAAAACAGGTCCTGCCTGGGAAATGGGTACCAGTGGGAGGGGGGAGGATACAAGCAAAGGGGATGGGAGGATAAATATGATGGAAATATTCTGTACACATTTATGTAAATGAAAAAATGAGACCTGCTGATACTATTCCAGGACAGGGGGAGTGGGGATAAAGGAGAATGATGGAGGGGGTGAATTCAACTATGATATATTTGGTATATTGTAGGAACTTTTGTAAATGCCACAATTGTACCCCCTACAATAATAATAAAAACAAAGTATAAAAAATTACAGTGAGATAGCTACCACTAAACTGCAC